AATTTTACCTACCAAAACTGTTTATGATACAACGACCTAAATTCCGATACACGATCAGAATTTTCTCAATACTACATTTAATTATAATTATCATTTAAATGCGAATGCTTGATGAAAATGGGCCCGTCATAAGTAAAGATATTTCATTGTCTATTGCACGTTTTCTTGTAATTTTTTTTTAACAATACGTTAACGTTAACGCAATGAGGCATTGGGATTATTTAATTAGAGACATCTCGATATTCAACTACTATGTTATATGAACTACTAAGAACACAACAAGCAATTATCCCCATATCGATTGGAGTTTTAGTAAGGATCCCCTTTTTATTGGAAATATAATATACCCTTTATCAAGCCGGCATAATGTAGCTTCTCCACAGTGAACGAATTTTTTAAATCGGTTCAGTAGTTTCGGAGCCTATTCAATACATACAAACAATCAAATCTTTCCTCTTTATATAATAGTATAGATAACACACTATATTAACAGTGGATCCAATACTAGGCAATTGTTGTATCTTGTGAGCTTGCGTGACGAGTAAAAGTGTTTTAAATCGATAAATAATAGTTATTAAAAACAAAACTAAAAAACCGGCCAAATGCGAGTCAGACTCGCGCACGAAGGGTTCCGTACCATTGTCTATAAAAACTGCCAGAGGAATATCTGGCATCACATAACAGGCATTTGAGGGCTACTTAATGGAAATGAAAAGTATATCGATTTCACTATGATCACTTATAATTAAATTAAAACTCATGAAAATTTATTTACACTATTCACACATTTATAGACATTTCATAAAATTTTAACTATTTATTTGCATTATAATTATTATATTATGGTATTAAATATATTACCATGTGCTCAGTGGTCGAGGAGGAAACCTGCATATTTTTGAAAAAATAACAAAAAGAAAGTATTTCGATAGATATGTTGTCTGCCAATAAGCAGTGAGGTCGCTTGGTGGACCATGCCCTAATACTCTCTCCACAGAGGTGGCCTTGGCCCAGCAGGCTTTACTTTTATTTCAAAATTAAAGATTTCCGTATCTTGACATGTGGATTTATTTGCTTTACACATAACTTAAATATGAAGTCATTCAGAATGTTATTCTCTTTCTAGGGGAAGTTGGCAAAGGGGAAGGCGTTTTACTTAATGTTGATTACTTTCACTTATGGCCATGAACAAACATCAACATCAATATATATATATATATATATATATATATATATATATATATATATATATATATATATAAAAAAAGACTAGCCCGTTGTTACTTCACTAATCAGAAATGAAACGCTAAACTTCCGCTGCACGTTACAGTTATGTGTTTAAGGCCGTGGACAAGACTTTGAACCGCCGAAGCTGCTGCGTGTCCATACCAAAATCTAATGTAGTACTCAGAGATTGTATTTACAGAACATTAATATTTTATTGTGCCCTTAAATGACTTAGTTTCTACCCTATTTAAGGTGGTAGTAAATGAAACTAAGTATGGCAGTTACAAGTTACACTTAGAAGGGAGCACATAAATTTATAGGGTCGTGGTTGTGGACCTGAAGATTCGCTTGTTTACGTTTCCGCAGCTTTGTACTCCCCAGTGACATAGACAACCGTAGCAGGATACTGTATCAGACAGCCAGGCATGGTAATGGGAAAACAACCTCGGCACTATCGTGTGCAGTGAGGTAGTTACGTGCCAAGTGTGACTTGGTACGTGGCAAGTGACCATCCAACACAAATAGCTACTAGAAGCTTCACCGATCGTAATTTGATTCCTAGATCTGCCCAAACGTCATTCTGAATCTGAACAATAGACAAAGTGATTCCTGGAATTGATAAAATCATACTCTAGAACCTGGTCTGTCTAGCTTCTGATCTGACTCCCAATGGTGGCTAAGAAAGTACTTATATAACAGTTTTTCCGTGAGGTGGATAGGTAAAATCAGAACGGCGTTTAAAATTTATAAAATGCAACAAGCTGGATATGCCGAAGGCTAAAACATGTTTAAAAGAATGTAATTTAGTGAAATTTGCTAAAGGGAAAGCAACGTACCATCAAGTTCAAAGAGCGCAAAACAAGCTCGAACAAGCTCACAGGGAAGCTTCGAGGCGACTGATTCTCCCGTATGCGATCTTTGACGGGCAAGACTCTGGCTCCAGTGTCCTTCAATTGTACTTCCGCACTGCATTCAAAACTGCTTTTTATATCAATTCGGATAATTAAGTACTTAAAGAAACACGTAACTTATTGAACATTAAAACGTGTAGAAAAAGTACGAAAATACGCTGATAGCTAAATAACAATGTAGAAAGAAGGCGTTAAGATTTTCGTCGCTGTGGCTATCAGCCGTTTAGCTCAGTGGCTAGAGCGTCAGGCCGCGAATGCCGAAGAGGTGGGTTCGATTCCCACAGCGGTGACAATCTTTTCGCACTTTTTCTACATGTTTTAATGTTCAATTTTAAGTGCAGAGATTAGCACTATAAAAAAACTTAAAAAAAAAAAACTTATTGTTAATGAATTGATACACTAAACTATATCTGTATTATTTTGTTGTGTAATTTAACTTTAAGACAAATTCTGAAGAATTTCTAACGTTTGCTGTTTATTTTATTGATTAACCTAAGTATACACCTAATATACGGGCACGTTACGTTCGGTTACATTATATTAACATATCTATTAAAAGCTTTCTATTTTTCATTCGCAAAAATGTTTTTAGTTGTTAGGATCTCTTGTCATAAGTTGTCGCTTAGCAATCTTCATTACATACCTTGTCTGGAAAAGAGGGTTTTGTGGGATTTGTATCCACTAAAAACCCCGCGGTGGCCACCTTCTGTAGTTCCGTTTTAAAAAACAGCAAGAAATATCTCGATGGTACAAAGCACGTTAAAAATATTTTTTAGTAATTTGACAAATGTGATTGAACCCATTTCAGAAAAAATGAGTTAGGTGAACTCGATTGAATGATTTCAAATGTTTGGCAAATTCTTAGCTTTATACATTTTTGGTAAACTTGGCATTTAAAGGTTGTCCCACAATCTTCAATCTGTTCCGACGTCGCATTCCAGCTTCAGCATTGCTCAGATAAATTGAATTAGAATTCTCTCGCGTTTGTGAAGCGAAACTAATGCTTTGAAAAAGGTATGTGAAATTAAACTATACCAAGATTTTGAATCCAGAATAATCATAAAACTCTAGACCTTACAACAAATTTTAAATGAAATGTTCAAACAAGGTTTAAAACTTGTGGTGAAAATGTGAAGAAAAAAATATCTTATTTTTATTTTCCAAGTTGAATTTATTTGTTTGATAAAGTCAGTAAAAAGATAAATGAAACCATGTTCAAAACCTAATGTCTGTCTGTACTTCTGTCACCAGGCTGTTTCTCATGAACTCTGATATTTAGACAGTAGAAATTTTCACAGAATTACTGTTGCAGATATAACAACTAATACTAAAAACAGAATAAAAAATATTTAAGTGGGGCTCCCGTACAACAGACATGATTTTTTTGACGTTTTATAGATAATGTTACGGAACCCTTTATGCGCGAGTCTGACTCGGACTTGGCCGGTTTTTCAATTCATTAAAGATGTATTAGTATGACATTAAATCATTTGCAGCATTTTTATTAATATATATATTATCGTCTCCTTATTATTTCAGATTAATTAATAATAGCTATGTTATTTTATTTAAATTATATTTATTATGTATGTATAAATAGTAGGTATATATTGTATTATAAAATCATATATACATATATGATTTTATAATACAATATATATGTACGTAAAACTGCAGTTATAATTATTTTTTTACGTTGGTTGATGTCATAAACAGAGCACAAACAATATTGCTGCGCAGTCTCCCTAGAGATTAGCCAAGCATTTGAAAAGGTATGGCACAATGGGGTGCTCGTTAAAATTAAAAAAAATGTAACCACACTCTTTTTTTCTGTTATTGAAATCCTACCTTGAAAATAGATCCTACGAAGTAAGACACAAGGAAGCATACATAGGGCACAGTTCTCTACTTAATATTTACAGCAGATCTACCCCAATACCATTACAGCGACATACGCAGATGATATAGCACTTCTTTCGACTCATGAGAATCCCGATATCGCATCAAATCAGTTTCAGAATCGAATCCAATACAGACAAGTCGGTCTAAGTAACTTTTAAAATTAGAAAAAACATGTCCACCTGTCAAACTTTATAATACAGAAACCCCACAATCAGACGACGCCAAATACTTAAGCATCCATCTAGACCGCCGACTCACTTGGCATAAACATATATGGGCTAAAAAGTAAACTATTGTTTATTATAAGTATATGAAATAAAAACTATTTTTAAGAGAAATATTTGTTTAATTTGAGCCTACATATTGTTTTCTTCATTTACATTCTTCGATTAATGCAAATATTTACAATGACCATTATAGTGATACGACATTTTTGCTTGAAAAAGGACATTTTTTAGTTTTCTATGTTCACTGGTGACGTCGGCTCGCGTCCTTACAGATTTATGGCCTCTTTAGGTAGACAAGTGGGCACGCGACTAAGGGAGATGAGGACCATTTAGTACGAGGACGGCACACTTAGGGAAAAGAAGTAAAGTTTAAACATGGAAGAAAGTAACAAGTCTTCAGCTAAATATTGAATAACATGTACATTTTCTTCAAACTCGCTTAAGCATTAATGCAAAAGGAGAATATTTAAGTAATCATTGCGAGTTTTTAAGCTTCCATATGATATGGTTATGCAATATTCAAACGCCATAATAATTTATATAATCGTTCTCACCTTTTAAAAAAGTTCAGCCCAATATTTGATATAGTTTTTACCTTGTTCATGTTCTTAGTACCATTACCTCATTTATTTAGAAAAATAAATAAAAAATGCACACAACGAATTAAAGAAGAAAATATTCAAAAAATATCACGACATACTTTCTGATCAACAAGGGTAAAACTATAAGGCTACATATCAAACATTCTATGACGATTTCGCGCAAACAAGACATTCCAGAGTAAGCCAAATGTTAGATTGATGATTGGGCTAGTTGGTGTTCGGGAGGCCGAGGCAATCATGCGCATTCGCATTGCCTTGTCCGTTTCCGCCATGGTTGCGTTCAGGATGTCCACGTAGGGCCGCAGGGCGGTGAACACGCTCACGGCGTCCAGGGCGGGGGTCGCCAGGTGCGCGCACTCGCGTGGGCCCATCGAGGTCACGGCCAGCTGCACGCCGGCGAAGATCACCGGCCCACCCGAGTCGCCGGCGCAGACGCCGCTGCCACCGTTGCCCATCCCGCACACCACGTGGTACCAGGCGGAGCGACCGCATGCCACCAGGCGCAGCCGTGCACCACACAGCTCCTCGCCCAGCGCAGTGCTCTCCGTCCGCCCAAACCCCAACACCTGCAAACGGCAAGCATGGGATTAAAAATACCTATGTCGGATTTAAAGGCTTAATACTTCTAAAATTAAATCGCTAATCTGATCCAAGGTTTAATGCCTACCGATATCAATCCTAAAGATATCAGCATTTAACAATTGTGAAAAAATATTTTTAAATAAAGTTTTATAAAGTAAATCAAGTACAAAGAAAAACACTTTGCCAAGTTATCTTTGTACGTTTAAGGAAATAATAGCCGTGCTTTTCCTAAAACGCTTATAAAATTATTAAAAACGGAATATTATCCTTAGTGATTAAATAATATGTATGGAACATTGACACCGTAAAATCGTCGAAATTACTAGAACTTCTTCATGGATAAGGTTCATCGGATCGTAGCGGCGTACTCTTGCCAGCGGGTCGGGTGGAAGCGCGATGGACAATTTTATCTCATCTCGTGTCCTGATGAGTCCAACGTCGTGGTGGAGCAACGTTACGTCCATGCCGTTACCCACGTCCTCTTGCAACACCCTATACCTACAGTATTTCATTTACATCTTTAGATAACGACAGTCAAGTGATGGCCAGTTTTGAATTAATAAAAATTATAACGTAAAATAATTAGTCGCTATTGAAAAACAGAACACTATTTTACGCGGTTCTTTGACCTTGAATGCTGTAATATGTTCAACACGTCGGAAGTTTGATATAAATGTAAACACTTGTATAAAATTCGTATAAAAGTATGTAGATGCAAAATTACGTATGTAGTTATAGAAATAATTTAATTTCATTCGAACTAAAATCAGCAGTTTTTAAACATGCATATGGATACTATATTGCTGTTGGCACAAACGTTTTTATTCCTCCCTTACATGCAGAAACCTACATAGAACAGCGATAAAACTGCTTACTCAGGATGACGGTACAGATAATGGACAGCCACAACATCGCCTTGGTCCGATGAAGTTAGTCGAGTATTGTATTTGATATAAGATATGGTCGAAGAAACGCAGTGTGCCGCCGTGAGGACCCAATGGGGCGCCAGTACGGCGGCCGAACACCGCGCCGCGAAGTAACGGTCGAGGAGGGCGCATGTCGCAGGGAAGGCGCTCATCTCAGCTATAGTACCACCGAAAATACGCCTCGTGTTCGCCGCACCGCTGCCAATGCGCCTGGCGCCGTGCACTTTCAAGTTAACTCCCTTCCACGCGTTGCCACCGTCGTTTCCAAGTTCTCGGAAAAACACAAAAGTGCTGTTGTTGCGGGCACTGCCTGTGCACAACATTAGTGAATACAGAATGAGCACGAAAAATTCGCGCATAGCGGTAAATAATTGCAGATTTTTATTTTATCATCATATGATTAAAATAATAAATAAGGATTCCTGTCAATGCTTGTTTTGACAGAACTTTGTTGACATTTACGCTTCTATTTGGTTTATGTTACCTATAAAGAAAAAAATATGACTTAAGATTGAAGAAAAGTCTATACATATGTCATTTAAATATGGGAACGAACGTTAGCTGTCATCGGGTCGATGGATAGCTTACTATAGATAGAGCGGACATACAAACCGTGCTTATCAAGCGTAGCGTTTCAATAAATAAGCTTCATGCTACTCTCGGCTTGGTTGGTTGGTTGGTCGGTCGGTCGGTCGGTCGGTCGGTCGGTCGGTCGGTCGGTCGGTCGGTCGGTCGGTCGGTCGGTCGGTCGGTCGGTCGGTCGGTCGGTCGGTCGGTCGGTCGGTCGGTCGGTCGGTCGGTCGGTCGGTCGGTCGGTCGGTCGGTCGGTCGGTCGGTCGGTCGGTCGGTCGGTAGGTTAGGTTAGGTTAGGTTAGGTTGTGGGATCAGGGCTTTGCAGGTGGGGATAGGCCGCGCGATCGCCGTTGCCAGGGAGGAGTTCTTGGCTGCATTGGACCGTGATCCCTGGGGGCGGCCGTACAGGATGGTGATGAATAAACTTCGCCCCTGGGCCCCCCCTTTGACACAGAGCCTGCAGCCACAACTAGTATCGGCGATCGCCGCGGCCTTATTTCCACAGAGGGAGTACCACACGTCACCCACGATGGTTCCACCAAACACGGATGACGCTGACCCGGACATAGAAGTGCCTGAGGTGACTCCGGGCGAGTTCGGTGCGGCTCTTTTAAAGATGAAAGCCAAGAGCACTGCCCCGGGTCCCGATGGCATCCCGGGTCGAGCATGGTACCCGGCCCTTGAGGACGCTCTGGAGCCCAGGCTGAGGGCGATGTTTACTGCCTGTCTGGCTCAAGCCATTATCCCACAGAGGTGGAAGACAGGCAGACTCGTCCTCATCCAGAAGGAAGGGCGTCCAACTGACTCCCCGTCCGCCTATCGGCCGATAGTGCTTCTCGACGATGTGGGCAAGCTCTTCGAAAGAGTGATCGCCAGCCGCATCGTCAAGCACCTGGAGCACGTCGGCCCAAATTTGGCGGACAGACAGTTTGGGTTCCGCAGGGGCCGGTCAACCATTCACGCGGTGCTGCGATTGAGGGTCCCTCGTGCAGGAGGCGGTTTCCCAGGGTGAGGTCGTCTTGGCGGTGTCTCTTGACATCGCCAATGCCTTTAACACCTTGCCCTGGGCTTGCATAAAGGAGGCGCTCCGGTTCCATGGAGTGCCTCTCTACCTGTGCCGCATCATTGGGGCCTATTTGTCGCACCGACGTGTGATGTACCCGTGCCGAGACGGCTACGGGACCACAGAGGTGACGTGTGGAGTTCCACAGGGGTCGGTGTTAGGGCCACTCCTGTGGAACGTAGGCTATGATTGGGTGCTGCGCGGCGCCTACCTCAGGGGTGTCGAGGTAACTTGTTATGCTGACGACACCCTTGTCACCGCCCGCGGTGCCAATTTTCACCGAGCGGCTATTCTCGCCACCGCGAGTGTGGCGCACGTGGTGGGACGCATTCGGCGACTGGGGCTAGAGGTGGCGCTTAATAAATCCGAAGCCCTATGCTTCTATGGGCCCCGGAATGCGCCACCTGCGGACGCCCACATAATAGTGTGCGGCGTCCGAGTCGACGTCAAGCCGACAATGAGGTATCTTGGCCTAGTCCTGGATCGCCGATGGAATTTTGTTCCCCACTTCGAGCGCCTAGCTTCAAAAGTGGCGAGAGCAGCGGCAGCTCTCGGAAGGCTGCTCCCGAACGTTGGCGGCCCCAAACGACTCTTGCCGCCGCCTATACACCGGGGTTGTAAGGTCTATGGCCCTGTACGGTGCTCCCGTCTGGGCCGACACCCTGAATCGCCGGACCTTGATGCTTCTGCGCAGACCGCAGAGGGTGTTGGCTGTACGGGCCATACGGGGCTACCGGACGATATCCGGTGAGGCAGCGTGCGTGCTGGCAGGTTCCCTTCCCTGGGATCTAGAAGCCAGTATCCTCGCGTCGCTGCACTTCTGGCGTGAGGAGGCGATAGCCCGGGGCCACCTGCCGGCCTTAGAGGAGTTGAGGGGGTGTAGACTAACGTTGCGCTCACTCGCTATTGCTGAGTGGGAGCAGAGGCTGGAGCACCCCAGTGCCGGCCTAAGAACCATAGAGGCCATACGTCCGGTACTCAGTCGGTGGCTGGACAGGCGTCACGGCACCCTTACCTACCGGGCGACGCAGGTTCTCTCGGGGACATGGCTGTTTCGGGAGGTACCTGTGCCGCTTAGCGGGGAGGGAGCCAACAGCGGTTTGCCACCACTGCGACGTATGTGCCGAGGAGACGGCCCAACACGCACTGGAGGAGTGCTCAGCCTGGCGGGAGCAGCGCCGAGAGTTGACATCTATCGTGGGGCACGATCTCTCGTTGCCTGCCGTGGTCCGCGCTATGGTGGACAGCGAGAGGTCGTGGGGTGCCGTCCTTGCATTCTGCGAGGACATAATCACCCGGAAGGAGGCCGCGGAGAGAGAAAGGGAGGCAACTGCCACCCTGGAAATCCGCCGCCGGAGACCAGGGCGCAGGAGGCTGGCCTACGCGCGCAACCTTCCCCCCTGATAGCAAGCCCCGGGGCGGCAGATGTGGGACTAACTGCTGCCCCGCGGAGGGCTTGAGAGGGGTGCCGTGTTCTTTGCACCGACACGGCACCATTTGGCTGGACCGGGTGTCCCTAACACCCGGGGAGAGGAGGCCTGAGAAGGTCACAGTCGCGCCGGGGTTCGCGGAAGATTGCGTTCTCGTGTTCCCGTGTCCCGCGGCAAGCGATAGCGCAGGTGCAACGTGGGTTTTTTAGTGGGTACGTGTAACTCCCACATACCCCTGCTGCCTACCCACAAGGCAGCGGGGAATCCATAAAGGATTTTTCCCACGTTAAAAAAAAAAAAAAAAAAAAAAAAGGTTGTGGGATCAGGGACCTTGTTTTCTTTTCATGTTTCAGCAAAGGCAATTTTTTCTTTGCGTATTCTTTTTTGTATGAAATTGTCTTGTTCATTTACATCATATTTTATTACAATGTTCTCGTTTTTCTCTTTAGATACCATTGTATATTTGTTATAACTTTTTACTTTTACATTCACTTCAAACTATATTCTGCTAATATCTACTTTTATTCTATTACATACAATTTTTGCTATTTGTCTTATACATTTAACTTCGGTATCTTACAATGATTTCTAGTTCATTAGATTTCCATTTTCTTATTCTACCCTGCACCTTTATACTACAATTTTTCTTACCTATCTCTACTTACTTAACATTTTAATCATTTTTCATCTATTCTAAACCTCACATACAGGTTTTATTCTGCTAATACCTATTTTTATTCTAATACACACTTTTATTATTTATCTTTTACATTTTTACCTATTTGCTATTTTGTGATAGTAACATATTATATAACTTCTACTTTTTACTTACACAATTAACTTACTTATCTTACTCTAATTATTATATCTTAACTTTTACATCTACTTCGTTTCGATTGGGGATTGTGCCCTATACATATAAGCATGTATGTAGCCAATTCCCTTGGTCTACTTATTTTTATTTGCTATTTTTTTACTAATGTATTTACAGTAACTTAGGAATGGCTTTCTACTTTCTTTTTCTGATATTAAGTTTTCTAAATTCTCTTTTTTTACTGTTTTGTTGGTGAGTTCTTCCAGTTCGTACCTTGCTTTTCCGAAAATGGGGCATTCTGTTATAAGGTGCACTATGTCTTCATCTTTTGCAGGATCACATGAGCATGAGGGACTCTCCTTACATTTGAATCGATGTAGGTATTCTGAATATCCCCCATGTCCCGTGAGGACCTGCACCAGCACGTCATCTAGGTTCATTTTCCTTATTATCGGGTAGGCATTTACCGCGTCCGGGAAGAAGATTTTTGTGGTGGTAGCCGTTTTCTCTTGTTTGTACCTGCGATTCCACTCTTCGAGAGTTTCCATGCGGATTTTCCTCTTTATGTACGAAATCGGGCAGAGATCGTAGTCTGGTCTCCTTTTTGTCCTGAGCGCGGCCTCCTTGGCTAGTTTGTCTGCTCTTTCATTTCCCTCCATCCCCACATGGGCTTTGACCCAAAAAAGTTCAAGGATTTTTCCTTGTTCTAGGATTTTGGCGATGTTTTGCCTGGTTTCAACACCCAGGGGGTGAAGTAGTGCCAGCTTTGTGGCCTCTCGAAGGGCTAACAGCTCCGCCTGGTATACTGTACAGAAATTTCCTAGCTTGAGTTTTTTGTAGCTTGTCTCAGTAGTACCTTTCCACAGGGATAGGGCCGCACCCACTTTTCCCTCGAGCTTGCTGCCATCTGTAAAGATGGCTAGCTCGGTGTCGTGCCGCTGATTCGCCTGTGCACTTTCCTCCGAGCTGGTATTCTGAATTCCTTCCAGTTTTGCTGGGTGTGGTGTCTCTTCATACGGTGTCCGTCTCTCAATCTCCCGGTCTCCTATGACCTGCCGAGTATGACCTTTTTTGATCTCGTAGAGGAGAGCTGCCTCCTGGATCCTTAAATCCAGTGGCAGCAACCCGGCAAGTAATAGTGCCGAGTTCAGGGAGACGGTCCTGTATGCTTTGACGATTTTTTGCAAGAAGCCGCGTTGCACCAGACTTAACTTTTTCTTTGCTTGCACCTTTTTGGTGGCTGGTGCCCAAGCACTTCCCGCATATAAGAGTATTGGCTACACCACTGCAGTGTAAATGGTCCGGATCGACTCGGAGTTTAAGCCCCAGTGAATTTTGCCGCCCTGGAAAACTGATGGTATATGTTCTGGACCTTTTTACAGGTTGCGTCGATATGCGGGTTAAACGTTAATTTGTCGTCCAGGGTGAGGCCTAAAATCTTAA